GGGAGCGAGGGAGGGAGGGGGGGAAAGGTTGCATCAGCTGCATCACAGGTGGGGTCGCCCAGGTAAAGTCTGGCCCGCCCACCACCCAGCCCACAGCGAGCCATCCCAACGGGCAGGGCAGGGCGTTGCATTCGGACTACAAATCCCAGGATGCTGGCTGGGAGCGGGGGATTCTGGGAGTTGTAGTCCCCCCCCCCAAAAAAAAGGGAGGCACGGGGTGGCAAGTTGAGGACCGGAATGCCATGAGCGGGGATGGGGGGGGAAGAGCAATTGTGGTCCTTGCGCGCCTGAGGGGGGGGGGAAGGAAGAGAGGCAAAAGCCGCCTTTTTCTAGTCCAGAGAAGCAGCCCGCCCTGCCTTAAACCCCCCGCCCCCCAATGGGAGACTTAAGGGTTTTGGATAGAAAACCCCTAGAAAGCCTTTTTCTAGGGTCCGCTCCACCCATCATCCCTTTTCAATGCCGTCCAGACTGGTCAGGATGACTGCATCTGGTGAGTTCCACAATGAACTAACAATCCACCACCCAGTTCAGGAGTGGGGTTTTAAACCAGTTCTATGCCCCCTCCTTACTGCCAGTGAGTTTCCCGGGTCTCTCAGGTCTTACTGTCTCCATTACACCACACCAGGTGCTTGTATCCCTCATATTTCTTTAGAAATTTCATTCCCCCCCCCCTTCACCTTGTGGAGGCGAGACTGGGGGTGGTGGTGTTCCTGCTGTTTTCTATTATTACAGGAAAGACCTTTTCCTCCCTAGCCAATTTCTCAACACCAGCAGTTCCCAATCTTGGGTCCCCAGATGTTCTTGGACTGTAACTCCCAGAAGCCTTCACCACCAGCTACGCCATGCATTAAAAACAGACACACTGGCAGTACAGCCTTCCTCATTGGCCTTTTTCTCCTCAGTTAAAAAGCCTCAAAGTTTCCATAAAACAAACAAACAAACAAACAAACCTGTGTAGCAGTTTGCTTCATTTTCCATTTTCTGCCTCATTTACAGAACATGAGGGGTGTGAAAACGGCACTATTGATAACCCCCCACCTTGCTTTTCCACAGCTTCACCCGCCTCTCTCTCTCTTTTTAAACGAAGAAACCAAATCCACAGACAGAGGAATAGCAGAGGAGGTGAACAGCACCCGTCTACTTGGAAGCATTTGAATGCTGCATTAGTTTGCATTTATTGGCCATCATTGCATTGCTGATTTACACTTTTATTGTGGCACATTGCTGCTCATAAACAAGGTGCTGGTTGCCTTCCTGAACATGCACCCTTAGGCATAAAACTGGGAGTGCACCCAACGCCTCATTAACAAGTGCCAAGATTTAGGGAGCAATCAAGATATAGCTCAGATTTTGAATTGTTTGTGGTACAGTCCAGTGTGGATACTTTTCCAGTGATCAGACAACATACAGAAGATTGTGAACCAGTCTGAACCTACTCTGTGCCCAAGACAGACCGTTCGGGGCCAATTGCCATGCTGTCCTTTTTTGGAGCTGGTTCCTGGAAGGGCAGCTTTCAGGGAGATCGCTCCCTCATCACACTGTTCCTTAATTTTGTTTGCAATAGGATTCAAGCTGTAATGACATAAGCTGTCAGGGGCCACAGTCTGCTCTGATGGATGCATGAAGTGTTTTCTCGAATTAGTTTCTTTAGATGCAGGGTTGGAGGGTGTGTGTGGAAGTGTACACCGTTCAGAGGATAATGGAAATCTATAAGTACAGAAAGTGATATGACCTCTCACCTGGAAGAGCAAGTGGTTCCCCACTGTGGATCACCTGGGGGTTCTTGGACTGCAACTCCCAGAAGCTTTCGCCACCAGCAGTGCTGGCCAGGGTTTCTGGGAGTTGCAGTCCAAGAGCACCCCCCCCCGGTGATGTAAGGTGGGGAGTCACTGCTCTCTCGAGGAAGGAGAGCATTGTAATTCAGCAGTGAGAGTAATGCATTCTGTGCATGGTCTGAAGGGCATCCCTCAGAAATGTCCACACTGGCACTGAGAACAGATTCTGTCATCACCCAGATGCAGTGGGTGATGCATCTGGTAGAGATGCAATGCCTGACCCCTTGCTATCCTGGTTACGGGGTTTCTACACTGCACAGTTTGTCAGTGAAAGCAAAAGCAAAGCGTGCTGCTTATATACCGCCCCATAGTACTTTAAGCACACTCTGTGCGAATTACAAGTTAACTATGCAGGCTACACATTGCCCCCCTCCCAGCGAGCTGGGTACTCATTTTACCGACCTCAGAAGGATAGAAGGCTGAGTCAACCTTGAGCCGGCTACCGGGATTGAACCCCGGGTCATGAGCACAGTTTTGGCTGCAGGACAGCAGTTTAACCACTGCGCCACGAGGCAAGCATGTCCCTTACCTTCAAGGAAAGTGAAAAAAATTCCATTCAGCTGCACCCCTCCCACCGCATAGGGACAGTCCTGCCCAGTGGTAAAGCAACTGCTGAAAAGCTTAACCACAGAACAAACCGGATATGACAGACAGACAAATTCAAAACATGTGTGACAACACAAGATAAGCTGCTTGTTTTATAGAAAAGTGCCCTCATAACAGATTGACAAGTTCTTCCTCCACATACGTCATGAGAAATGCAATTTAGTATTGCTGCAAATAGAAGGGGAAGATACGGAGGCAGTGACAGATTTTACTTTCTTGGGCTCCATGACCACCGCAGATGGGGACAGCAGCCACGAAATTAAAAGGCACCTGCTTCTTGGGAGGAAAGCGGTGACAAACCTAGACAGCATCTTAAAAAGCAGACACATCACCTAGCCGACAAACGTCCGCATATTCAAAGCTATGGTTTTTCCAGTAGCGATGTATGGAACTGAAACCTAGACGATAAAGAAGGCTGACCGCCAAGGAATTGATGCTTTTGAATTGTGGTGCTGGAGGAGACTCTTGAGAGTCTCCTGGACTCCAAAGAGAACAAACCTATCCATTCAGAAGGAAATCAACCCTGAGTGCTCACTGGAAGGACAGATCCTGAAGCTGATGCCCCAATACTTTGGCCATCTCATGAGAAGAGAAGACTCCCTGGAAAAGACCCTGATGTTGGAAAAGTGTGAAGGCAAGAGGAGAAGGGGATGACAGAGGACGAGATGGTTGGGCAGGGGCATCGAGGCGACCAACATGACTTTGACCCAACTCCGGGAGGCAGTGGAAGACAGGAGGGCCTGGCGTGCTCTGGTCCATGGGGTCACAAAAAGTCAGACACAACTTATCAACTAAACAGCAACAACAATTGCTATGTCTTTTACATCTATTTTCATATGTGGTGGGAAGGGTGAATATATATTTAAATACTGCAAGCTGTTTTTCGAAGAAATTAATGGAATATTAATGTTAAATCTAGGAATATGTCCTAAACTTATTGATATTTGAGAGTGAATTGGACAATGAAAGAATTGATCACAAATCTACTAACAGTGGCTAAGTTAATTTGGAAAGTTACCGTAAGTGTGATCCCGAGTTATATGAATCGTATTTTAAAAGTGTGGAATAGAGTTATTAATAAAGAAAGTAACTTGCAATATTAAAGTAAAAAAAGATATGTCAAATAAGAATACGCTTAGAGAGATATGGGGAGAATTTATTGACTTTGTATTAACAAAGGGGAATGATTGTGTAACTTTGCAAGAGTCAATGTATTCCTGGTTAGGAGGAAGAGGGCTCTGTAATAGCAAGGAGAGTATTTCCATTGGTCCTAGTTGGGGTGGGGAGCACATTATGTGTATATGTGGAATTTCTTTAGGTTTTTAAAAATGTATAATAGTTGTTAAAATTATTTTTGTGGAATATGTGTTATATTTGTATTTTGCATGAAAGACTTCAGACAATTAAATGATGAAGCAGAACAGAGGTTTAATTGCAAAGAAAACTGCAATTAGACATTTTCCTCTATAAAAATATCAGGGTATGCTGCAGCATTAATTCTCATGTGCCAGAAATGGAAATCCGAAGAAATACAAGAAGTTGCAACATATATCTACAAGATATAGGTTGTCACCAAAAGAATTGTGGGTAATGTCCCTGAATTTCTGCCCTCTGAAAAGGCTTGCTAACAGCATGAAAGGGGAACAAGCAAAACAGAAACCAAAATAACACGGAGAAAAAGTAAAGGACAACCTTGAAAGATAAACAGATTCGGGGAAGTGCAAGCTTTTCTGGATCATGACACTGAAACAATTCTAGTAGTCTATAAAGTGCTAACAGTACTTGTCTGTTGTGGTCATTCAAAATCTGAAAATAGGGGTGATGATTGGATTGGATCATTTTTTAAATAACTGGTGTGCTATTGAATGTTGTAGGATTCCTCTCCATGCTGAGCACCGTAAAGCTTGCAGGGGGAAGGAGGAAGAGAAAAATCCCACAATCAACCTGATCAGATGTCGAGGCTCTGGGATCTGGAGTTAAGAATCCCAAAACGAGACTCTATGTTTGTAAAACCAGCTGGAGAAACATTTGGATC